CCAGCCTTTCTTTTGATATTTGCCTGGCTCAATCAGGCAAAACGGACGAATAGGCATATTAGTATACCAGTCGAGTTCATTACCGTTATAACAGTTAGAAGGCGCAGATATAAATTGGTGAGGGTTTATTCGATTACAACAGATACTAGAGTAGAGCCATAGATGAGGATCTAATTGAAAAGTATTTCTTTGCTCAATCCTTTTGTCTTATTAGTGTCTAAATCGGAATTTACGCCATTAGGGCATAACAAAGTGCGAGGGTTGACAACCAATCAGCTAAGTGATAAATAATCATTTTGAAATAACTGATAGGCAACAACCAAACAAACGTTTCAAAATGGGTTACAAAAATAGGACTGTATTGAGTTTATTCAGGAAAATAAAATTGACGCGAGGCTGGACATAACATTTGTGAACACAAAGTTCAGTTCTTTTGACAACCATGCTGATAAGTGCCCATGGGTGAATCTCTGTCGTCTATTAGCGTTGTATGTATAAACGCCTAACTAAATAACAGTACAGTTTTGAAGTGAATTTACGAAAAGAGATCCCTTCGCTGACTTATGCGTTCTTTGAAACTCTTAAAGTGAACTGTAAACGACATTTATAAATAGTATATGTATTTCTTGTGTTTAGTTATTCGGTTTGTCCTTCTTTTATGTATTTAAAATACAGGTTTATTTTAAACCATAAATATTCGAGGATAGAATTAGATGAGCATTTATTAACAACATCGGTATTCAATATTCACAAACTGTCTGTCTGGATTCAACATAGAACTTGGCACCGAAGTGCAGCAGTTCGAGTTGCCACGTTCCAAATAGCACACAGAGGTAGACAAGAAGATGAGTGAAGAGAATCAATAGAGTTTGACAAGTATAAGAGTGAAACAGAATGGGTAATGGTAGAAAGGAATATGAAAGATTACAGAGACTGAATACATCTGCGCCATTGACAACGATTTTGAGCCATGTCACCTATTGTCTCCAGCCATTGATTCCTAGAGTCCCGAGGGCCCCAACCCGGGAGTCTGCATCTCCCTACCTGACTCAGTTTAACTGTCAAGGATTTCATGGATTGATGCCATGTTTTTGTTTGGCCACCACTGGCTCTTTTCCAACCTGCACCTATATCAGCTAGCAATGCCCGTCGGGGGAGGCGGTGGTTAGGCATGCGCAGCACGTGACCTAGCCATCTTAGTCTATGTAACTTTATAGCCTCGTCGATTGATTTTCCCTCTTTGCCCAACACTCTACGCCTAACGTCAACATTACTTACCTTATTAAACCACCTAACGTGAGACAGAGATCGCAGACATCTATGATCGAAAGCAGTCAACCTTTTCATGTCTTCAACGCGTATTGGCCATGTTTCAGAGCCATAGAGAAGGACGGAGCGAACTGATGAGCAGTACACACGTCCCTTGGTTGATAACCGGATGTCACGCCTACGCCAGAGATGGTGTAAGTCAGCGAAAGCAGCTCGAGCTTTTCGGATCCGTGCTGAGATTTCATCGCCAATCAGTCCGTTGGTGCTAATACAACTTCCCAAATAGGTGAAGTGGTCAACATGTTCTATCACTTCACTCCCTATCACTAAGTTAGGAGTTGACGTGGTCCAGTCCTGTAGCAGCATCTTACATTTTGTAGGGGCGAATCGCATGCCAAACATACGAAGATTGCTGCTCAAGGTGTTCAGAAGACTCTGCATTTTGTCAGCATCCTCCCCTAACAGGACTATGTCATCTGCATATTCTAAGTCCATAAGACTATTCCCTGGTAACAAGTCGATTCCTAAGTCATTACGTTCAGTTAAGGATACTTCCATTAGCATATCTATGATGAAGTTAAACAGAAATGGGGAAAGTGGACATCCCTGTCGGACACCACTGGTTGTTACCAATTCAGATGACAATTCCCCATAAGCCCTTACACGACTACGTGAGTTTGAATAGAGTGCCTTGATTAGTGCAATGTACTTTCTTGGCACTCCCTTCACAGTCAGACATTGCCATAGTACCTTTCGATCCACGGAGTCGAAGGCCGCCTTCAAGTCAAGAAATATGACAATTGTTGGACGCCGAAAAGTGTGTCTATGTTCTAGAATCTGTCGAAGAGTGAAGATATGATCTATGCACCCTCTACCTGGTCTAAAGCCTGCTTGATTTTCCCTTGTCTGTTCCTCCCGAGTTCTGCTTAGTCTATGCATGATTACTGAGCCTAGGATTTTAGAGACTATGTTCGTTAGGCTGATCCCCCTATGATTATCACACGAGGACTTGTTTCCCTTCTTGAATATCGGTATAATAAGTGACTTACCCCAGTCTGATGGCACTGTCTCTGATTCCCAGACTTTGCCTAGTACCTCAGTTAATCTACAAACTAGTATGTCACCCCCATATTTAAACACCTCCGGAATAATTCCGTCGGGTCCTGCCGCTTTGCCTCGTTTCAAATTACTGATAGCTTTTGTGACCTCACTTACAGACGGCGGACCAGTGTCTATATCCCATTCGGGTGTGTACTGGATGTCGGGGAGGTTCAGTGTGGCTGTAGGCAAGTTAAATTGTCCCTCAAAGTGTTCTTTCCAGCGTTCAAGGCGTCTATCCTGAGAGCTAATTAAGGAGCCATTTTTCTCAGAAATAGTCTCACTTATGATTTGCCTTCTCCCACCCGTTTCCCTGATGAGTCTAAAGAGTTGCCTATCGCCGATGCTTTTTCCATCTCTTTTGCCTTTGTCACCCACCACTGTTCACGGTCCTTGCGGAGACTTTTAGTAAGTTTCCTTTTGTGCAGCTTTCGCTCCTCATTGAATTCGGAGCTCGCCGGAATAAGTCTTCTAGCATCTATCAGTTCGGATGAGGCAGTCGAAATCCAGTGGTTTTTACTCACCTTTGGATTTGCCTTATTCACAGCTTTTACAGCTGTATCTATAGCTGACTGAATATTCTTCCAGGCTTCTCCAGGGTGAGCACAGCTGTCGAATTCAGATATGCGTTTAGCTAGTTCTTCCTCAAATAGGGATTTAGTTTCCTGATCGAGCTGGGGACGTGATGGTTTTACCGCCAGCTGTTTCCTACGTCCGTTCAGTCGTAAGCACACACGAGCCCGGACCAGTGCGTGATCGGTATCTACACACGTGTTCCAGAAGGAGCGACAATCTCCTACCGACCCACGCCAACGATAGCTTATTGCTATGTGGTCTATTTGTGTCCAGCGTTGGTTTGATGATGGGGGTCGCCAGGTTAAACAGTGTCTCTCCTTGTGTTTAAAGTTAGTGCTTACAAGAAACAAATGATTATCTGAACAGAACTGTAGGAGACGGTCACCGTTGTCGGTTCGCTGGCACGGAACTCCATAGGTGCCACCGACATCCTTCTCAGATTGACACAATTTCCCTACTTGAGCATTAAAGTCACCAGCTAGAACGACTATATCTGAGCGTTTAGCCTTTCTCACCAAACTAGACAGCTTTTGGTAGAACTCATCCTTCGTTTCATCCGAACTGCAGTCAGTGGGGGCGTAGGCGGAGATTACGAAAAGGCATCGGCGAGTAGTGCAGTCCTTTCTCCTTCTTACTGATCCGTTCAGACGGACAGCACACATTCGGCTATCTACCGGGATCCAGTCAAGTAATGTCTTTTCTGCCCTAGTACTCAAAGCTATCCCTACGCCAGCTAATCCTCGTGAACTAGCTGTGGCATCTCCTGACACCCTCAAGGTGAATTTTGAAGATTCATCCTGTTGGCCAGGTGGGGTTAGGTGAATAACCACACTTGGGTCTTGTATGCGTGTTTCTGAAACACAACATACATCAATGGCTCGGGATGCCAGGGTCTTAGCTAGTGATGCTTGTTGTCCTATTTGGCAAAGTGTCCTAACATTAAATGCTCCTATATGAAATTGGTGGCGTGGCTTTAGGAGACTATCGGTGGTGGTTTTTTGGCTTTCGTCGTTTTTAGTGGACACAGAGTGAAGAGGGAGTGAGGAGCCATCAAGTAGAGGAGTTGCATCAGTGGGAGGAAGGCAAGGTAATAGAGATGAAGATGAAGACAAAGATAAGTGAGGATTAGAGAGGTTTTGTGTGCATTTCGGATTGTGAGGGCGTTTGTTACTTCCCGGCTGCCCACACCGTGGAAGTTGGTTGCGTGACCGCAGAGCCCAGGGGACAACTGCTTGAGGCCGGTCACACGCGGCCTGTTTTTGTTCGTTCTCTTTTGTTTGGTGTGCCTCAGTAGCATACTTATCACTCCTGCCCTGTGACACGGCAGCAGGAAGCGCGGTCGTTGTTAATCCGGGCCACGGCCGATCCGGCATGAAATTTTGTGAATTTGTTTGAATCATGGTATTGGATGGGGTAGCTGCTTTTTGTTTAACCGCTATCCAAACAACCTGCCTGGCATGGTAGAACCTCAAGAGACATAAGTCTCAGCCAGTATAGCTTGATTAGGTCATTGCGGTGTTCAAGCCCGACCACCACGTCAAGGTAGCAGCTTTCGGTCCACAAACTGAACTTGATGCGTAAATGTCTTTAAATTTTTTAACAGAAACTGTTAACTAGCTTCACTGACGAAATCGCAAAGTCAAGTGATAAGCGCTGATTATAGTTTACAATGATGTACTCATTTGGGCGCCGAGATCCAGCTGTCACAACTTCTTGCTTGCAGTCTAAGAAACCACCTATACAACTCAGTATACGTATCGTTTTATAATGAGATTAGCCGAGAGTCCGAGATAACATTTATTCCTTATATAGTATCAAAAGACCGAAACGAACATCAGATTTTAGAATGTACTATTTCACGTGTTTGTCATTACGTACAAATACGCTAATAAGAGTGTACAAGTCTGAGTTTTGGCTTAAATCAAGAAAATAGGAATCAAATAGGTTTATTATTAAATAAGAGCAAAAAGACACTTCACTAAGTACGCTTTATGGTATATACGTGTATGTGCCTGTATTGGTACACTCAAGTGAAAATATTGACTAAAGTTGAACTGTTATAAATCCGAACGAACTTTGAATCCAGGACCTTTAGGATCTGTTGTCAGTGAGGTTAAACCACCTTTTGGTTCTGATGCAAAACGTCCACCTTGTCCACTCCTAAAATTTAAACAAAAAGTGAAAAAGGTATTGAAATGGAAAATTAAGCTCGCATTATTATTCCCTTGGGTTTATATCAAACATAGGGCTTCAACAACACATCTCCACTTTGTTTTATTTGCTGCTGTCTTCTTCGGCTGGATCCACGACTGCCCACAGTTTCTCATTTCCTCGCATAGCACGACCTCCTTGATGTCACCCTCGATTGACCCACTCATCACTTCCCATTTCGACTCCACTAGAGGACCTGACGGTGTGGTGTCATCCGACGATGTACACCCGATCCATCTTCATTTTTTCCCTACATATTTGTTGAGCAATCGCCTACTGGTTGGTGTGTTCCACTGCAGAGTCTCTTGTTGCTAATTCTTTCTGGCCGTCCATTTGATGTGCAGTATGGAAACAGCGAAGGCAGCTGCTGATAAAAGTCTGTAACTTGTTGGAAATCCTTTTTGTGACAGACAGGTCAAGTTTCTGACCCGTAAATAAGGCCCGACTTGACATTGGTGTTGAAAATGTGAGTCTTGCTCTTGATGCTGAGCGCAGATTTCCAAAGTGGTTTCAGGTTGATGAAGGCGTATCTTGCCTTTCCAATTCTGGCTTTGATATCTTTATCCGTCCCGCCTGTATTACATTATTAGCCCGTATTATATTGGTTTCCAAATAGAGATGTATATTGCTTTTATGCTTAAACGGGATAAACACTACTTTATTACATTCTTCGGTTCAGTATGTGAAAATTAAGTTTATTTAACTTAATCTAGAACAAATGTTTCATGTAGGAGGCTAAGAACCGCACTTATTACCGTATAAGAAGCAGTGATGCAAACCAGTAGTCTAGGCTAAAGTAGGTTTATTTGATATGGACATGATATGAACACCGAATGATTTATGCTGTCATTATTGATTCATCCTTTGGGTTCTTCGTGGAATATTGGGCACAACAATATTTCATTCTATTTTCTGCAGTTTTCTTGCTGTCTCCTTGATTACCCATGAGCTTACACTTCTTCGTCATATGTGATCCTCTCCGTATCACCATCGAACCAAAAACCAACTCATCGTTATTTCTTGGGATTCCAATCTAGGATCTGGCGCGTGATTTCAATTGACGGTCTTCTTACAGTATGTCCGATCCATCCCCACTTTCCTCTACATACTTTTGTGAACTTATCGCCAAAGTTCCTTGTTGCTTATCTTTTCCAGCTGGCCATCCGATCCTCAGTATCGAGAGGAGTGGGGTGGAACTGTCGATGAAAATCTATAGCCCGTTAACCAAATGATTACAGGTTATTAAGTTCCCATTTATCAGTACACAAACTGAATATACCAACTTTTATGAAGATGTTAATATGAGTATGTTAGAAGATGCTCTTTTGTTGGCTTTGCCTTGCTAATTCTAGTTCACCATAATGTATTTTACTGGTCCTTAATCAGAAAGACTGCTTTTACCTCAGTGAGTTATCTGATTGTAAGCTGATATCATACCAAAGGATTCACTTTTTTGACGACAATCAACTTGTTAAGTGCTAACTGAAATGAGATAATAACCTCTGACCTTTATTGTCGGTCGTCATAGCACATAAAAGCCAAGAACTTTCAAATTAAATTACGACAAGGAATCTTTTCTTTGACTTATGTGTTCACAGCTACACTGCATTTCCTTTATTCGTATGTGTACCCCCTTATTACAACTCATTTATTAGATTATTTATCTCAAAACGTAATTTTGACAGTCTTACTCAACTCACTTTACGTATTGATAAATATTAGCAACTATTGATTATAAATTATTTAAATTAATCCCAGCGTGTTAAGAAAATCAAAACAAGATTTTTCTGAACATTTCGCCGTGTAAGCCGCGGCTTCTTCGACAGATTTATTCGGATTTTTATTAATCATAAAAATGATTGTGACAACTCATAACTTTTGTTACTATCTTCTTTTGTGAAAACAAATGGTATATAAATGTGATTATTGCACAACTAAAGGAACTAAATTCACCAAAAGGATCCTATTCACAGAATTACTCGGTTTGTTTGTTTTTCCCCATAAAATTAATCTGTTAATGTTTGAATTCTGGAAACAAAGTCCATCTAAAATAATTCAGTAATCAAGCTCTTAAGATCAGTGGAACGAAAAGAGATTTCTTGGACAGAAGTATATTCAGTGAGGAAAAAATGGAAAACAAAACCATGAGAAAGAAAGCAGAAAAACTTACTGTGGTCCAGGTTTTGGCTTTTTTCCAGCTTTTAGTTCTTCAAGAATACGAACTGTATCTTCAACTGTTAAGTCCTCCTATTGAAAAAGTAAAATGAGAATATTGGCTGGTCTTTAAAATGTGTCGTACAAATAGTTCGAGCATATTACCTCTTGTGGATATATTCTCACATTGGGCCTTTCATCTCATGTCTGGTAACAATAACCCTGCTGACTAAACAAAAATGACACTGGTTACTCCTTAGTGGCCAAACACTATATCCACCATAGGGATACGGGAGGTAATTCTTAGGCCTGAACCACTCAGTAGTAGCATTTTTGTGACGGAATTATGCTGGGAGGTGCATGTTGAAATCTCTAAGGTGGAAATCAGTTTCCTTACGTATTGCATAAACCGGCCTCCAAAGCCTCAGGATGGTCGGGGATGGGTGCCTTGCGCTGAGGGTTGGCCACCCCTCCGCACACCTCTTGAAATGCTCCCATATGACCGGGCGTCTTACATAGCCTCTCCTGAGGAAGTCCTACTCACTGCCTTCACGTGGCGGAGGTGTTCCTCACCAAAGTGAGAGGGCGAAAGCGGATGCCCGGCGCTCTGCACCGGGTTAACTGTCCATTGGATGACAGTCTAGGGGAGATGGCTAAACCCTGATTCCAAACCTCCAACGACTGGCGTATGAAGCTCACTGGAGCTCACCGGCAGACGTATGGACAAAGGGCTTGTTGGATGTCCTGGATGTATGGCCCCATTCAAAAAGGCGTATGAACCGAACTCCGGTCACCGGCTGCCAATGGATAGTGGACTCCCTACTCCACTCCTACTGCCTTGTAGGTCACACTTGGTTGTGTAAAGGCTAGAGCTGCACTCTCAAACAAAAGGCCGAGCGATGCTGGGGACATCACTCGTACCAAATTCCCATGAAACTTCATGAACTCTCTTACAAACAACTCTCACCATGCTACGGCGTTCCCGGTAAGCGACGCGCCCTGTGCTCACCCGGTGGCCAGTGTGAAAAGTAAGCCAGCTGGGAAATTAACACTTAGAAACCAACTATTTGTTGGCTGCTGGAATGTTAGGACGCTGTTGGATCCTGGTAGCCAGTCTATCACCATGCGTTCTTTATACGACTACAAGGTGGACATAGCGTGTCTATCTGAAGTGAGGTTACCCGATCATGGCTCCCGCCGAATAGCCGTACCTGGAACAGATTCTTCATTCTGGTTGCTTCATAGTGGACCCCAGAATAATTCGGGACAACATGGGGTAGCATTTGCTCTCAGTAACAAAGCCAATAATGCCCTAATATCATTCGAACCGGTCAACTCCAGAGTTGCAATCGCTAGGTTCAAGGGTTCCCCGCTCGACATTTCTGTTCTCGCTGTCTATGCCCCAACCCTCGACTCTGATGAAAGTATCAAAGACGAATTTTATGACAATCTTCAAGAGGCAATCAACAAAATCCCAAAGCGTGACGTTCTCATAGTAGCCGGCGATTGGAACGCCCGCACTGGCCCTTCAGACGACGCGACAAAACATATACTAGGCAAACACGGTCTCGATCAGCGCTGCCGTAATGGTGATAGACTTTTAGCTTTTTCTGATTACAATCGATTATATATCACCAACACTCGATTTCAACACCCTAGAAAACATCTTCTCACCTGGTATTCGAACGACGGTCGCACTGCACATCAGATCGACTACATCCTAGTGCGCTCACGCTGGATCTCCTCGGTGGAAGACTGTCGATCCTATCGTGGCGCAGAGGCCGGAAATAAAGGGGGATCAGACCATACTCTAGTTCGGGCGAAATTCAAACTTCGTTTAACAACACGCCAGAAGGCGCGACCTCCGAAGCGTATCAATGTTGTCCCGCTTCAATGTTCGACAAAGCGACAAGCCTTGTCCAAACAAATCCAGGCCGAACTAAGCGCCGCAGATGAACCAACATCCACATCTTCTAATACACCTGAGACACGATGGAATCATTTCAAAGAAGTAGTCTCTAAAGCTTCAATGTCGCATTTGGGTACCACATCCAACAAGCAGAAAGACTGGATTTCAGAGCACACCATGCATCTATCCTCGCAAGCCAGAGACGCTCGCCTAGCAAAGTCTCCAGTTTATCGCTCCCTCAGGCGCAAAGCTACACAGTCTGCTAGGAATGACAGAAATCGCTATTGGTCTAATGTGGCGACTAACATGGAAGCAGCATCAAATGTAGGCGATTTCGGAAAACTTTATCGCCTCATACGCCTATCATCTGGCAAACGCCTTAACAGTCATGCTGTGTTACGCACAGCATCAGGAGAAATTATTTCGGACACCAATGGTAAGATGGAACGATGGGCCGAACATTTCAAGCAGCTACTCAATCGCAACGCTGGTCAACCGTCTCATCGACCGATACGACACTTACCAACACCCTACGTAGTTGACTGCGATCCACCCACTCCAACCGAAATAGCTAAAACAATTAACAGACTCAGAAACAAAAAAGCTCCGGGCGAAGATGGTCTACCCCCAGAAATATACAAGGCCTGCACTCCAGCGCTAATCGATGCACTGCACTCGCTGTTCTGCTCAATTTGGGAGTCCGAAACCATTCCTTCCGATTGGAGCACCTCAGTTCTGCTACCGTTCCACAAAAAGGGAGACAGGTCAATATGCGAGAACTACCGAGGCATAAGTCTGATTGATATCGCTGCTAAGGTTTTTGTTTCCATTCTCCTGAACCGCTTCGCGGCCGAACGCCACGTGCGAACAAGGCCAAATCAAGCCGGATTTCGACCTGGAAGAGGCTGTGTTGATCAATTATTCACACTGCGAAGAATTTTGGAACACAGGGACAAATTCCAACAGCCGACGGTTGCTTGCTTCATCGACTTCCGAGCGGCATTCGACTCAGTTGATCGAGGAGCACTCTGGTATCTAATGGAGCTCGACGGAGTTCCGACCAAGCTAATCAACCTGCTCAGGTCATACTACTCCAACACCAAAGCTCGAGTCCGAGTGAACGGTGAAGAGTCTCGCACTTTTGAGGTAACCAGCGGTGTCCGGCAAGGTTGTCCAGCATCCCCCATCCTGTTCAATTTCACAGTTGATTGGATTTTGCGGCACGCCCTAACCGAGCACCACGGCGTCCAACTTTCGCCCGATATTCACATAACCGACCTCGAATTCGCCGACGACGTCGTGTTATTAGCTGAAAACTTCCCCGATATGCAACAGGCGCTCGACCAGATAAACCACCTCGCGCCTACTATCGGTTTGAAAATTAACACTTCCAAAACCAAAATGTTTTCGAACACATCCACCAGCAATGATGAAATCTTATCCCTGAATGGAGCACCTATTGAAATTGTGCCATCCTTCAGATATCTGGGATCCATAATGCTCCCCAACGGTCAAGCGAAAAACGAAGTGAATGCGCGAATCTCCAACGCCCGGAATGCGTTTCTACAGCTGAGGAGCGTTCTATGGAGCAAGAGAGAAATCAGTCTCAGGACTAAAATTCGGGTCTACCAAGCCTCCATACGACCCGTTCTCCTGTATGGCTGTGAAACCTGGCCTCTTCGCGCGGAAGATTTACGCAGACTCGAGGTAGTAGACCATTGGTGCCTCAGGTACATTCTGCATGTTCGTTGGCAGGACAAACTCTCCAACGAAGAAGTGCGTCGTCGTTGCTACAACATCAACCAAATTCCAGTACTGGTCCAACAACGTCGCCTTCGGTGGTTTGGCCATGTTCTGCGCCGACCAGATGACGATCTGGTCAAATCAGTTCTAAATCCCTCGCCATTTCCATCTTGGCGATGTCGCAGGGGTGGACAGCTGAAGACATGGCTTGGTACAGTCAAGGCTGATATGGAGTGCCTGGGGCTACAAACCGTCTACGGACTCCGTCTGTGGAAAAAGAATTGGATAACCCTGTCGCAAAACCTTGCATCAGATCGCCGCGCCTGGGCAGCGATGATTCGAGACGTTCATGAAGCCGGCTCATCCTCCCGTAGGAGATAGCCGAAGTAAAGTAAAGTAAGTAGTAAGCATATACCCATTGCTGACGAGTGCCATATATAGGAATCCCCTTGTGTAGCCTCAAAGAATTACTTCTCAAATACACAATGAATGTTCACTTTATCTTCAATAATTCTTACTACCGACAAGTAGATGGAATAGCTATGGGTCCACCATTAGGCCCAATGTTAGCTGACTTCTTCCTTGCAAAACTTGGAAACGGGAAATTGAAAGACATCATCAAGGAGTAATGTTTACTCATGACGTTTCGAACACAATTTATTGCCCATAATCATTTCAAGGTTATCACACGACTTCCTAACTTCATTTATATAGTTCCATTGTTTTTCACTTGATTTGATTGGTAGTAGTATTTTCCAAATTTCGAGTATGAGTGATGAGTCATTCCTATTGCACGTGTTGGATGTAGACTCGATGAACAAGGATTCAGTAAATCATGCTCGAAACGCCATCAGTAAACATTACTGTATAACAGTGAGACTTTATCAAAACAAAATTTACCCATAATGGAATTACACTCTACCACAGTGCACAATCAATCATCAAGGAGTTTGATATGCATTACCGATATGTCGATGATACATTTTTCTTAGCTGATGGGAATGTTAACATAGACGAATTGTTGCTTAAATTCAACAACGTCTACCCTTCGCTTACTTTTACTTGTGAAGAGGAGCAGGAGAATAAACTACATTTTCTGGATGTCTTACTAAGTAGGAGAGAAGATGGGCCACTTGGGAGAAGCGTGTATAGAAAAAGCACATTCACAGGGCAATACACACACTTCCTTAGTTACGTGCCCATTAAATATAAAAGAAATACTGTTAAACGTCTTACGAGCAGAGCAAGAAAGATACGTACAGATGACCTCTTACAAAAGGAATTTGAATATATTCACGATTCCTTAATGGAGATGGGATATCCGAGTAGTTTCATATGAAAACATCAGAGAGAAAACCTGTGACTCTGACTGCAAGTAAAAAGCCTCTATTTATTAAGTTACAATTTAATGGTGACTTATCAAGTGAGATTTTGTTCCAGAGACTTTTTAGGGGTATACGGAGAACGTTTTACGCAGCATACCTATGTGTGTCACTCTCTAGCCGATGAATGATTGGGACGCAAACGAAGGATAAGCTAGATAGTTTTGTCACATCTATGTGTATTTATCAATTCAACTGCACCTGCGGTGACAGTAATGTTGGGCGTACTACTAGACAGCTTAGCCAACCTGTTAGTGAACATCTCCCATCGTGCCTTGGTAAAGGACAGACAAAAACAATCCGTAACTCAATTTTGTCACATTTAATTGATAGTGGTCATGTGGTGGAGAAAACGAGAGCTTTCAAAGTAATTAATCGTATCGTACCGAATCTTTCCAGCAGAATTCGTATTCGTCTACTGCACACAGCTGATGCGATAGGCATTCGAACTATTTAACCTAAACTATGCATTCAAAAGAAGTTCGTAGAGACACTATCCCTCCCTTGGCCTATTAAGACATAACCAACTAATGACTCCTATAACACCCCTTGTTTATATTTTCAACCTCTTTCTTACCATCCATTAATCTTATCACATCTTCATTAAAAACGTGTCTGATTTACTTCCCTTACAATCTAGCTTTACTCAATCGGTTCATTTGTTTTTACTAGCCTTTATCGACTACTTCCACCTGAACATTTGTTTGTTTAATCATACTGTTCTTTCATCATTCGTGTTATCACAGATTGCCTCACTTTTTAATCCTTATTATTGATAAAACCATTATTATTATTACTTATGACTAAATGCACAATTTATATTCACCATCTTATTATCCTATAGACAGAACACCATGGTTGGTTTATATTGGAATTTTATTTTTAAACTTACATATATTAGAGTTAAGCCTGATGAGATGTAATTGAAAACAATATTGTTCGCTTAAATGTGTTGTTTTAAATTTTACTATGGGAATATTTAATATATATATATATATGTTATGAGTAAGAATTTTTCGGTAAATAGAACCCAATGCTTTTTTATCAACAGTGGGGCTGCGGCTCATTAGTTTGAGATCTCTACCTCTAACCAGTGGGCCACGAGTTCGAACTCTTCTCACCTTACCCGTTTTGCTTGAAACCTGAACTTTAAACAAAGCTTACCAGAATACTTATTTCATACGTTTCCATATTCATATCACATCACTAAATGAGTAGTGAAGTGAGTCGTAGCCTTTTTAAAACAAGCAAAGATACGGGTTGTCCCTTGTCAATTTTAATACTAATAGGCTGGCTTTATCGAATCAAATCAACTGTTCAAAAACTTACATAATAGTCATCATTGATCTGCATCATTGGTGCGTTAACACAAGCTCCAAGACATTCTACCTCTGACAGAGTGAACATTTTATCTTCTGTTGTTTGACCTGGTTCAATACCTATAAGGGAGGAGGGGAGTAGAAGTAAAACACACCTAGAACATCTCATCTTTATAATACAGATTAAGGGACTTTTTTATTGTAGAGATTTAAAAAAAACTCCAGATCTCAGTAGCCAGAATAGTGTGTCTTTGAACCAACTAACTAAACAACTAATTGACATTGTTGTTAGTAGGCATTTTAATTCTTGCAAGCAATTGCTTAAATTCATCTTCTCGGCTACTGAACATCCTCTTTATTCGCAACTTTCTCTTTGTATCTTTTCGAGTGAAACCAGAAGAAATTTCATAGGAATTCAAATTCATGCGGTCAAAAAAAAAGAATTCAACTATACCATATTTAGCACGAGCTTTGTGTGAAGACACAGATGTCAGTTAAGAGCCTACAAACCTACTATGTATAATCTGTACATAAACAGCAACTTATTAGTAGCATTATTATTACGCATATATTATTCTACTATTAAGTTCAGTGGCTTTATTATTTCGTTTATTTCTCTGTCAAAGGAGACAGACTGTTGTAGTACGCATATAGCTGAAAGTTCCATTCCGTATAAGGATTATTGTTTACAATAAAGTAATTACTACTAAGATATTAATAGTCGACAGTAGACTGTGACATTTTTTTCACTTCATTTTGGTCGTGAGATGTTTTACAGTTGAATCTAATGGGATAAAAATTATTTCTCAGAGACCAATCATTACCATGGAAATATAGTTACAATTAAGATAAAACTACAAGACGTAATTTTTGCTTGAGTTTTTTTATTGCAGCTTGATTCCACACCGTAATTTTGGTACAGGTATGGAATTTTCAGCATGTGATATCGGTAGCCCAAATTTTGCAGGCTGACCATAGATACCAGGTGTGCATCGGCAGAGGGTCGAACCCCCTGACCATGTGCATGATCGGCGAGAGTCCTAACCGCTGTGCCACCGACGCACTGTTTTGAGACCATTCGATGGACAGGATTTCAGGTACAATGCTTCAACAGAAGAAAATCACGCCATGGGAGGGGGCATCACATCGATTCTAAGTCTTGAAAAGTGCTGCTCAAAAAACCTAATAAAATTTAGAGGTACTAACGGTAAAAATAATTAGTTAAATATTACGCTTCTAATTCCAAGCAGTTGGTAATAAGCCACACCTATTATTTGTGAGGACTAGTCATACTACCTGACCATCCAAACCTCGATAGATGGGGTCAAGGCCCGAACTTGCTACCCAATGGTTTTCAAGCTGACCACCTACATAGAAAAATGAGTCGCAGCTCCACTAAACTAGTTCTGAGGTTGGAAAGGAAGAATCCTCCGAATAACCTGGAAAGCTATTACAATAAAAATGCTCAACGTATTTTAGTAGTAGAAACAAAATAAATAACCAGTATGGTTAACACAACATGGAAAACAGTCTAAAGCAGTAACATACCGAGATTTTCCTTCAGGGCGTCCAAAATAACATCTGAGCCTGCACCGCCCAACATGCACGGGGTAGTAGTACAGATCTGAATATGATATTTTCCCACGGGTTCCCTAGAAATAGACGGGCAATCACTAAACCACTATTGTTGCTATGATTATTATTGTTAAAAGTCACCAATAAATATAATATAATCAGTGTCGTATTTAATAGCACAGAAAACTGAATGGTTTTGTGAAGATATTTGTCCGACCAAACCACAACTGTAAAAAGAAAAACACTGGACTGAATATTCTCAGAGTTATCTAATCTCTTTCAGATGTTATCGATGGGTCTTAGATTTAAAAATACGAAATTAGTGATACATGTGAGACAGTGTAACGTATTTGAGATTCAAAGTAAATCTTGCTTTGTTAGCCGTGAAGCAAGTGACAATGGAAAACGTCCTAGTTGTTTCCATAAACCTAGAAGTGAAAACCAATGAGACCTAATTGCTGGTAGATAGGGTGTTTAGTCTAACATAACTCCTTAAACCAGCCAGTTGATGCACCTGATAACTTCTATGTTTGAACAAAGTCGTAATAATTTATCTGGTTATGATACTACTATTACTTCTTCTTGCCAGAGTGTATTTTTAGGTCGCAGTTCATCTGGATACGACCATATTAAAATGACATACTACATATGTGTATACAAGAGTAAATCATCTTTTACTTCTTGAGTTCCAAGTACAATATGGGATATAAGGTGTTTTTGATGATTCAGTAACGGTGGTGTTGTTTTTACAGTGCAACGTTGCCAGCCTCACGTTGTACTACCTATTTTCCTGGTTTACTATCATCCAGTAAACTAGGTGAGCTTTAGGAATGAGTCGGCTGGGAATATAACCTTAACCATGTGCGTGGTTGTTGAGTATTAAATCAGTGAATCACCGACGCCCTAAGCTATGAATGAATGTAAGTTTAAGTGTGTTATTTTCGCATGATATGTAATTATTACAGACTGTCAACTATGTATTTATCAACTCCTGATAACTTCTCTGACGAATATTTTACTGAAGTTCGGATAAAAAATGAAATGAAGCGATAGTAAAATTTGTACTAACTAACTAACAGGCCTGAGTTACGTAGCTCTTAGGTATGTACGATTTGTTTAGTAACTATAGGAACATTTTATAATCAAGTTGAATTCAGTAAGTTTTGTAATCAATATACCTTAGACTTCCATGATGCCAATGATAATGGATAAAGCCACGCCAAAGCGCAGCGTGTCTACTGTACGAATGGCATCTACTTGTGGCAAAAACAATGTTGAAGAAACCGATTCCATGACAGCGGCACCAGTGAAGCCGCAAGATGCGTCATTAATTTGAACAAAGGCACGATCTGAATTATTTACAGAAGTCCTGCTAGCCAATCTGATGACTTCGTTCTAAATCACTTGAGGGCATGGAGTAGTAGAAACAGGTGTCTGGCTGTTGGTGACTTTAATGCTCCACATATTAAATAAGGGGGAATTAAACTCCACTAGTTTGTATACCTGTTTCAATAGGTAGCTCACACTGACAGTGCTTGAATGTGCATTCGTGCGACATATGCATACACCAACAAGGTATCACCCTGAACATGATCCGTCCAATCTAGACTTGGTATTAACACACCAGAAGGAGGACGTTGGTAACATTAGGTACCTTCCACTACTTGGTAGCAGTGACCACGTAGTCATTACTTTTACGCTTAAAATTTATTCTCTCAAACACAGGTCAACATCCGCTCGTCCAAACATTTGGAAAGCCGATATATCGGGAACCCGGCACGCAACAACTGCAGCTGACTGGTCAGTCGATACAAGTTGGACTATCGAAGAAGCTTGGGTGGGATTTAGCAATACACTAGATTGTGTCACTTCACCTTTCGTACCTCGGTACATTCCTCCAAAAGCCATCTTGGATTACTAGTGAAATAAGGAGGCTATTAAGACGAGGAAGAACTTATGGGACCAATTTATTATGACACGAAGGGAAAATTTCCAGAAAGACTACAGCGAAATTCGAAGTCTCTGTATGTGATTAATAAGAGTCGTATAGAGTACGAGAGACGGCTGGTACTAGATTGTTTTCATTACCCAAAAAGGCTGTACTCATATATAAAACGTAGGACTAAAACTAGCAGTGGTATACCGTCACTCATAAGCATTAGAGGAGAAGCGGCTGCGTCAGACGAAAGAAAGGCTGAAAACCTCTCTGAATACTTGTGACATATTCTCGTCTGATCGTACCACCCAGGGATATGGGGAGGTCAATGCCATCGCCACTCAGATGCCCTTAATTGTGGTAGAGTATACAAAGGTCCTAAAAATACTGTCTAAACTGAAACCAGATAAATCACCTGGACCCGATGGACTTCACCCTAAACTGTTAGTTTCCTTGGCAGACATAATATATATTCCACTTACTGAGATTTTCCAAATATCTCTGACCCAGGCTAAGCTGCCCAGGGACTGGAAGGATTTTTTTTTATTTACAGCTTGATTCCACACTGTATTTTTGGTACAAGTATGGAATTTTCAGCATGGATATCGGTAGCCCAAATTTTGCAGGCCGACCATAGATATCAGGTGTGCGTCGGTGCGGACCCAGACCATGTGCATGGTCGGCGAGAGTCCTAATCACTGTGCCACCGAAGCACACTATAAGCCCTATATTCAAAGAGGAGAACAGGCAATCTGTATCTAACTACCGGCCAGTAAGTCTGACATGCAATATAGCAAAGGTATTGGAAACTGTTATAAAGGATAAGCTATTTGCTCATGTTGAAAAACATGGCTTGCTGGCGATGGAACATCATGGTTTCCGACCAGGAAGATCCTGCCTGACAAACCTACTATTGGCTAGGGAGGACTGGGTTGAGGCTAGAGATAAAAACCTTCCGTTGGACGTGGTTTATATCAATCTTAGGCATTCGATAAATTATCCCACTTAGGTCTCCTTAGTAAACTTAAAGGTCTTGAACCAGACCAATGCCTATGTGAGTGGTTTAGGGATTACCTAACGGATAGAAGGTTTAAGTTAACGGTGTACTATTAGGGTGGAAAGCAGTATCCAGTGGAGTGCCTCAGGGAACTGTATTAAGCCCCTTGCTGTTCCTATTATACGTTAATGATCTACCTGGAATTCTTACTTCATCTTCATTATTATTTGCGGACGACATTAAGAAATGGAAAACTGCCAATAATAACGAGGATAGGTCGGCCCTACAAACTGATCTAGATAAATTAGCTGAGTGGTCGAACCTGTGGAGTTTGGAAATTAATCCTAGGAAAAGGGCGGTAATGCACTTAGGTCAGAAGTCTTACACGTCGTACTCCCTAGGGGACAGAACTACCTGATATTAAGGGACAGAAGGACCTATGAATCATTGTCAGCAATGATTTGAAAACGACTGAAAATTTCAGTGCAGCCGCAGCTAAGGCTTTTTGAATGCTATGGGCACTTCCAATAGCTTTCAAACGACTAGACTCTACGCAACCTGCCAGGCCTTATCTAGGATACTGCGCACAAGCAGCGAGTCCATGCTTCAAAATAGAGGCATATATCCTGGAAATAGTACAGAGGGTAGGAACGAAATTAGTTATTGGTATCTCACACCTTCCTTATTATAAGAGGATGGAGCACTTAAATCTCTTCCCTTTATCATACCGAAGGAAGACAGGCGACTTAATTCTAGCATACCGTATACTCAAAGGTAATTTAGGAACTGACTTTTCTAACCTTTTTTCCCCATCTGGGATACATTTACGGGGTCACCACAAAAAGCTGCTCGAACTGAGGACGATTAATGAACGTACATAATTTAGATTCTCTCACAGAGTGGTCAACGACCGGAACTCCTTACCTGATTCAGTAGTATCATCTCCATCGGTGAACGCCTTCAAAGAGAAGTTAGACCTCTGCAGAGATATATTTTGCAAGGATTCACACAGGCCACAAGAGCCTTCTATTCTTATCATCTGAATCCGAACTTCCACAAGACGGGGTTTTCTCTAAAGATGTGAGCAGTTGGAGCAGATTTGAGCAGACTTGGATTATATATATATATATATATATATATATATATATATATATAAGTGTCTACATTGAGAATAAACTTTCATTTACCGAAAAACATTTACTTTTTAAAGCGCTTTGAAAATGCAATACAAAGTGTTTACTGGTAGTTCGTATATTATGCAGGAAATTCAAAGAGAATTTTAACAACGAAATTTGTGCTGTACTTAAAGTCTTCGGTCAATACTGTATTTTCAGAGTGAAGATACACAGATGATTAAATCTATTACCATACGCACATGTTAGTCGGTTTCATGGAAATATATTTGGAATGGAAGAATAATCTATTCCCCACTTACCTGTTAAACATAGTGTAGAAGGTAGCCACTTCATATACCCTCATTGCTGGGACATTAAGAATTTCAGCAACCTTGTTCATTGCAGATATTGGCAACCAACCTAAATAATAGTGCCTTACGAGTACATAAAAATTAACCATGTTGTCGCTGAGCTAAATCTAAGGCAGGAATTATTGCAGCAGCCTTATGTGCAGGTGGGTAGTTTCCTATGATTACATCCAACCTTCTTTTGTTTTCATCTGTGAATTCGAAAGGAGTCTGGGAATTATTTTCAGGGGTTTCTCGGTGCTGGATATTGGTGTGTTTTAGGGTGCATACAACAACTTACAACAAACAGATGTGAAGACTGACGTCCTGAGCAACGGAGAAGACTTTTGTTTGCTACGCGCAATAACTAGAAGACGAATAATTTGCATTGCAATATATAACCACCTTCACTGGAAATACACAAGAGATGCGGAAGGCCATTTTACGACCTTGAATATATGCGCCGTCACCGTCAATATCCAAGATCCTGATTACGAGCTAGTATAAACCAGTGATTTCTTTGAGCTCGCTTCTTCATTGTGAGGTAGAGGTTCCATATCTTCGGTGAGCTTCTGCGTAGTAAGTCCCGACACTCGACTGCTTTAGCTCTCGTAGACTCCAGGAGGAGTGGTGCGGGGATTGGTCGAGATGTGGTTTGTAGTATGCAGTATGTTAGGACTGTATTGCTGCCGTGAATGGAGTCTGACCTAACTCCCGTTGGTCATTCGGTGTAGTCATAAAAGCAGAATAGTAACAATAGTAATAATAATAATAGGTTGTAGTGTAGATAATATAGGTTGAGATAAGTGGAATAATAAAGGTGACCTAAGGAAAAGATAGAGTGAGAGAAGGCAGAATAGGTCGTGGGGATTTGGTTTGTACGCTTATCCATTGACAGTGTGGTTTTAAGTTTTATGAGGATAAGCCATTGAGACACAAACCTTGCATTTCTGCATGATTGTCTAGCTTCCGCTTGAAAATCTCCAGAGATGGCGCTGTAGTCACGGCCGCCGGTAAGGCGTTCCAGAGACGGCAAACACGAAGCGAAAAGAAATGTGATCACACTCCAGTCTTTGGTCCCCGGTATCCTAACCTTAGCGAGTTACCTCGTCGAAGCCCATAATCACTCAATGGCAGGATGGGTGGGTCTGGTCGTTTAAGATCTGGCAGACGGTGATGAGGTCTCCCCTGTGCCTACGGTAACCAAGTGTGAAAAGACCTAATTTCTTTAGTCTTTCCTCGTATGATTTGTTGCAGAGGCCGATCACCCATTTTGTCGCTCGTCTCTGGACACTTTCTAGAATGTTAGCATCCCCTTTGAGTAGCGGAGGTGCAATGATATTATGCACCTCAAGGTGTGGCCTCACATATGTCATACATAACCTTAAGAACAGGTCGGGAGTGAGAGCTCCCAGCTGCCTATGCATAAAGTGTAAAGTTGCGTAGGCTTTGGCAAAGTCCCTCGAGTAATTTCTACTGATGTCTAGCTTTTCTGTTAGAATAAGACCTAGATCTCGCTCTGATGGAACACAACTCAAGTTCTGGCCGCCAAGGGTGTAATCTACACTCTGTGACCTGCCGGAATGAAGTTGCACTACTTTGCACTTCTTTAGGTTGAAAGGCATTCCGTTAGCCAGAGCCCAGTTTCCCAGGGTTTGCAGGTCAGCCTGCAATCTGTCTGAGTCTTCCGATGACTTTATTGCTCTCCAAATTTTTACGTCGTCAGCGTAAAGAAGCGCAGAGCAGTTTAGTTGGGGGGGCAGGTCGTTGATAAAAGTCAAAAACATCAACGGCCCTAGGATAGAACCCTGAGGAACCCCTGATGCCGAGGTGTGCCAGGATGATCGGATGCGGTTGACTTTGGTGCAGAATTCTCTCTCGCCTAAGTAATCTTTCAGCCATGCGAGAAGTGCTCCAGAAACACCCGCCTTGCTTATTTTGTGAAGGAGCAGACCATGGTGAACTGTGTCGAATGCTTTCGCAAAGTCGAGAAAGATCACGTGGGCTGGTACCTTTTCGTCCCAGGATAGTGTCCAATCGTTCCAAGCTAGTAGAAGATTCGTCACGCAGGATCTTCCCCTCCGGAAACCGTGCTGTGCTTCGTGAAGAAGGTTAGTCCCATCGAAGTATTTTCTCATGTGGTCGTCAATGAGACTTTCCAATATCTTCGATATCACTGGAAGTAGAGCAACTGGTCTGTAACTGGTCGCATTCTGCCGGTCACCACCCTTGAAGATAGGGGATAGGATTGCTCGTTTCCATTCACATGGAAGTTTCCCTACATCAAGGGAGTGTTGGAACAGATCACTTAGGGGTTGGCAGAGACTTTCTGAACACTGCTTCAGGACAGATGGTCTGATGTCATCACAACCTGAAGACTTTCCCGAAGCCAACTTTCTCAATTTTGCAAGTACCATAGCCGGGGTAATTTGAAATGTACCCAGCAGGTTTTCGCGCGTTGGTTTTGCGATGTAATCTGGATGTTCTGTGGGGGTAATATCCTCGTTACTGTTTAGTTGCCTGTGAAAGGCTAGGCTGAATGTCTCTGCCATTTCAAGACTAGTAAGAGATTTCCCATCAGAACCCACTAGATTGCATGCTCCCTGGTTGGTCGGTTTTCTTTCGGACATAAACCTGTATAGGCTTTTGGGGTTCACGAGAAGCTTATTGGCGAGGTCTCCCTGAAATGTCCTTCTATCGCTCCGGACTCGTATGTTACATCGATTCCTGAGTTCAAGGTACACTTCACGTTCGGGTTGACTCTTCGATCGTCGCCACGCAAACCAGGCTTTTCGCTTCGCCTGCAGAAGGCGTTGTGTCCCCCTTTTAGCCATGATCGTTGCTTCCTAGCTTTTGGTAAGACTAAAGGAACAGTGTCTGAGACCGCCTGGTGAATGATTTCCTTTACCACTCTCCAGTGTTCTTCTACTGTTAGCTCTGTCCATTTTTTAGGCCAATTTGCTTCAGACAGAAGTCTTCGCATTTTGGTGCAGTTGGCTTTGTTATAACACAGATAGGGCTGTGTATTGTCCCACTGTAAGCGCTCGCGGAGGACTATGTCGAATACTATGACCGCGTGGTCACTACTACCTATGGGAGTCGTGATCTGAACGTTTTCACGTAATCCAGTTTAGAAGACTTCCCATCAGGGCCCCATCTAGTATCCATCTTGACATTTTCAGTGAATCCAGCCTTCCTGATGGTATGCAGCAGATTTCGATCAAATCTATCATGGGCTTTTCCCGACACCAAGTTAAGAGATGGGGCATTGAAGTCACCAGCTATGACAATTTGATCATAACCCATGTCTTGAGTCGCTGAAATTGTATTTAGCAGTACCTGGTTGTGGTCTGCTCCACATGAAGGTGATCGATAAATGCTGCCCACTAGATATTTGCAGTACCCAACGGTGAAGTGGCACCATATGGAGTCAGGGAGCTCTGTGAGGGGAGGGTCCATCGCGTGAACACATCTGAGCTGTTTGTCGACGTATATGGCGACTCCACCTCCTTTCAGGTCCCTATCTCGCCTGACTAGGACCATATCATTTATACTGACTTCGCTGTCTGCCACCGTAGGGGTTAGCCAGGTTTCCGTCAGTATTATGATTTTGGAGTTCAGTTGTGATTGTAGGTGTCTAAGTTCAGCTATTTTGCCTCTTAGCCCTCTCACATTACTGTACAGGCAACTGGTAGTCAGTCTCACCACTTCCCCGTATTGGGGGGTAGTTGACTTGATATTGGCTATCGGTTGAGGATTTATCCTACGAACTAGTTGGCCGATTCCCCAGGAACCGGCCTGTTGGCGTTTTTTTCTTCTAGTTCAAACGTAGCACTCGGATGACACTGGCTATCATCGTCCGTGCTGCACCGCTGTAGTGTGACTAGGGGTTGAGGATTTTTTTGACTACGCTTTGTTCCCTCTTTTGGGTGCGAGGCCGGCTCTCGCAGCAGCGAATGTGTTTGCTGACCTTGTCCTTGGTCTCGTACCATCTATGGAGAGCGGTAGTCAACTGGTCTTGGGAGCTGAACTTGACAGCTAACAGACGTGGCGTGTTAATTGACATAAGATGAGTGGGTCGAGGCAGTCTATAAATAGAGACAGCCCCTGAACTCCCCAAGGCCATCTGAGATGCCAACCATCTCCATTGTTGTACATCATGACAATGCTTTTCGCAGGCGTTCCCAGTTACCAGTTCAGGAATGCCATGCACAACCATGGAGGCAGAAGGAATGAGCTCTGGTGACTCCCTCGCCATTTGTCTTTCCTTCCATGGCCTGTCTGGCTTAACACGTATGTTGCAGGCCCTCCCTATAGAAAGGACTTGAGAAGCCAGTTACACTTTTTCAACATCCTCAGTAGAGCCCAATGTTACCCTCAGTGGGGATGGTTTGCCTTGAGGTGCAGCAGTGCCCCTGTACAATCTGCATAGATTTACTGGTTGGATGTCCAGACCCAGTGTGCTACACAAGATGGACCACTGTTCCTGATCAAATAGGGCCCTATCTTCCAGCAGACTACTGCTACAGTCTGGTCCATTAAAGGGGATTACACAGTTTGATCTACTATCCGTGGACTTAGGCTTGGTCCTCGCATGTTTGTCATCTCCTTTAAGACCGTTTTGGTTCGTCTGGTGCAACTGGGCATTTTTGTGTGTCTCAGTGCCATGGCCAGTATTACTGGCAGACGATAAGGGTCTTTCTCTAGCGACAGAAACCCGTGGTTCTCCAGCCTCTGTGTCTGGAGCGGTTATGGTAAGAGTTGCAAGTTTAACCGGCGAGGATTTTGGTATCACCGGTGTCAATATAGTTGAAGATTGAACGATCAATTCATTGTTGTTTGCTCAAAACCAACTTCCCTATATTTTCGCGGAGGCATCAATGCGACAGTCATCGTCTCATCGGTCGCTGTTCAGAAAGAAGTCAGCAGTAAACCATCAGAAGTAATCTTGTGATTTATTATTGTAATATTTGTTCACAGACCTTAGTAGAAATATTTTTTATATGTTGGTGTTACAATAAAGAATTCCCAAGCGGCCAATCGGTGTTTTGGTTTTTTCGTCCGTTATAACTAAGCGTTTCTGAAAACTTCAAGGAACAGCGTGGGCCCGAGCGTAGCAAGAGTTGGGCATTAACGGTTTATGAGACGTGATTGACATGTTTCCCTAGTAAATCCAGCAATACCCCTCGTTTAGGCACACTAGTCTAACCTATTGAGGCTGTCAACTAATGGAATGTTAGCCAGGTCAGCCGAGTGTGGATTTCAAAAATGACAAAATCGGAGGGAAAGAAGTGAGATTGTGACTGTCATTATCTTTCTCCGGTCAACATCTCTGCCATAGTAACTTCACAGGACATTTTAGTGTAAAAGCAGAAGACAAGGGCCAGGCAACAGTTTTTTATTGAAAAAATCAAGAGTTATTTACAGATTTTTATGTTCAT